TGTGTGTATATATATATGGAATGGATTGGGGAGGAAGCACTACCACTTTCTAGTCTGTGAAAGCAGTGGCATCATGCCCTCTGTGGTTCAGGAGGAGCTTTTCAAAGTCTGAGAAAATATATCCTTATGGACTGGGCTGAAATTATTTGCATAAAACCTGCGTTGCAAACATTGATGACAGTTTTACCAGGCGAGAAGAGAGAGAAAGATTAAGTCGTGTTATTTCAGAATGCAATTGGGGGAATGTATTTGGGGGTTTGACTCAAACTGGGGAATATTATATAATAATATAAATATACTAAAGAATATTTTGGACCTAATATTTAGAGAAGCAGTGGTTTGACAGCTCTTTTCATTTAATCAGTTTCTCACAAACCAGTAACCCTTTACATACTAAAAACACGTGTAGTGTCTTAACATCGCACAAACCAAGAATGTGATCATTATCATTGTTACACCGAGTAGTGGATAGGTGTAAATATTTTGAGTGTAAATATCTAAGAGTGCGTGACAGCCGCAGGAAGACATGGAACAGAGCTAGGATAAGAGCCAAAATAACCCAGCTAGGAGCATAGGCTATTCCACTACCCATCCTGCTCCTGGCTAACGTCCAGTCAGCCACAGGACAATGAAATGGATGAAATAAGACTCAGACTAATGCTGCGTTCACACCAAATTCGCGCCGCTGGTCAAAACACCGGGGACCGTTTGTGTTCATGTGCGAATCGCGCTGGACGCGCCGGAGAGGGGGCGCGGATTATCGCCCTGAAAGCCGTTCAACTGTCCGCCATTAACCATGAAAAATTTCAACTCGCGCGTTTGGGGCGATTTGGCGTTTGACGCGGATTCACGTCAAGCGCGCCGCAAATTCGCGTCAAGCGCGCCGCGCCAGTCTCATCGTGTCTGTGCATAGACTTTGTATGTAATCTACTCACGCGAATAATTCGCACCGTGTTTGGTGTGAACGCACCATAACCCAGCAACACGATATCAGAGACAGTTGTGCATACATCTTTACACTGTAAAAGGTCATGTATCAGCAGTCACATGACAAAACAACCAGATGTTTTTCTTAATGTAGCTGGTAAGCCCGGCCCCCGGATGAGTTTACCTTAGCGTAGGTGCAGGTGTCTGACAGATGCCAGACTGGACACCTCTTATCACAGCGAGGACACATAATGATGCTGGACTGACACACTTCATTACTGAGGACACACAGAGAGACAAAGATTAAAGGGTCGCTTGACATGAAGGTCAATCATCAAAAAACAAACCTCGTTAAGATGAACAACTGGCTTCTCATCATCCAGTAGTCCAATTAAAAAAGTCCCCACTTATAGCATAAAGACTTGCTGTCAAGTCAAGAGACATAGGAACTCATGCAAGTCGTACAAAACAGATTGATTCTTATGTTGCTCATAAGACTCATTTAGGAGAATCTGTGGCTTTTACCAATTTTCTTGTTTTTAGAATTTCCTCTGAGGTATGAGTACAATTCACAAGTGGTGAATGAATTTACAATTTAAACATGATACAGAAATGAACAACAAAAAATACATATAACTAAGATAAACTTAATAGTCTGTTCATCATCATGACTTCCGATTTACTGTTTTTATGATTTTATTATTATTTATTCCTTGAAATGTTATTAATGGCAGCTTAAACTGTTCAGCAGTACATACTGTAAAACGATGTCATGTGTGGTAGTAATGATATCTCATGGACAGTCACGTCTGCATGAAGTCATCATTTCACAAAGTCACACAGTTTCAAATTCTAAACAGCATCAAAAAGACTTTTGATCACAATGATCATGTTACATAACATTGCTCCACAGGATATTACTTCCACAGCATCTGACTCACATGAGAGGGTTGGTGTTAAAGAAGGCGAGTCCATAGAGGAACACTACAACACCCAGAGCAGCAGCTGGAACCAGCAGCTTGGTGTACCAGCCCAGCCACAGGTAGTACAAAGCCACTTTCTCTCCAAAGTAAGACCTGCAGCGAGGAAACACACAGGCAGACATGATGTAACACACAAACACATCAACTTTCCAGGCACGTCCAGCTGGTAGGAGACTTCGGGGTAGAACCAGAACACGCTGTGGAGATTGTACATCTATATACTGTACATCTGATCTGGTTTGGGAACGCCTCGGGGTCCACCAGGTGGAGCTGGACAATGTTGCTGGGGAGAAGGGACTCTGGACTACCTTTCTTAACCTGATGCCACCCTTACCATGGATGTATGGAATGGATCAAATGTATTATTCTCAGTTTGAAAACCTCTGGTTAAATAAATGCAACAAGTTTTACATTCTGCGTTCCTTAATCCAATATGTTAACATCCTTAACAGTGACGGGCAGACAGTTACAGACTGAGAGACAGTTACACACAGAGGGTCAGACAGACAGACAGACAGACGGATACAGACAGACAGATAGTTACACAGACGGATACACACAGACCGATAGTTACACAGACAGACAGACAGACGGATACAGACAGACCGATAGTTACACAGACAGACAGACAGACGGATACAGACAGACCGATAGTTACACAGACAGACAGACAGACAGACAGACAGACAGACAGACAGACAGACAGACAGACAGACAGACACGGTTACTGACTTGACGTCCATGAGTGGTTGGCCTGTAAACAGACCCGACCATCGAGCCCACTCTTTCCTCAGCTTTTTCTGAATCTTTCTCTGAGAATCATGGGAAAGATAAACATACAGACATCAGGTGTTTATCCTATATGCTAATACACTGTTTCACATCAACATTACAACACTTGGGCAAACATATAGATCAGTGTGTCTAAATGTTTCATGTTTTCACTTCCATGATCCATGTGTGTGTGTGAAAAAGGATCTGGGTGCACCGGTGAGTGAGTGACTATAACCCTCCTAACCAGGGCCAAGTTAAAACTGTCTTCTGTCATAAACATGGTAATTTTCATCTGACTGTCTGAAGGCTCCATGTATTCCTCCGCATTAGACATTTGCACTAAATAAATAAGTGAGGACACTTTCATTGGTTTGAACCCTTGTGCCTTACTGTTAAACAGCTGCTCTGATGTCCTTGAAGAGCAAAAATGTCCCCTTCATAAAAGTGCCATAAATTATATATTAAAATGAATTACCACTTTCACTGAATAACTAACTACCAAATATTCATTCATTTTCTGAATTGTAACAATTAAATGCCAGTTTGTTTACATGAACAGAAAGACGGGGTGAGCGGTCGAGATGCCAGCTCTGTTCCCCAACACACATCAGAACTAGGCTCACCTGCCACAACAATCACACAATGCCACTCACACTCATCGTAAAGGTCAAATATGGTGTTGTAAATATCCAGAAACACAAATGTTATTCTCTGCATATACATTGTTTGGCGCTGTATTACTATCCTGCTCCTGCACGCACGCACGCACACGTACGCACACGTACGCACACGCACGCACGTAGACCACGCATGACTCACATCATGGAGGCAGAACATGGTTTCAAACACATCCTTCATCAACAGTTCCTCGAGGTTCTCTGAAAAAAAGCAGAAGATATTCGCATGAGAGGCTGTTGTTTGTCTCATATCACAACATGACATACGCAACATGTGAACCCTGTGACATGTTTTTAATGGTCAGCTTGGAGGACTTAAGGGAAAATGTCTCTGCACCAAATGTGATCAAATAAAAGAACTGCAGGAGAAGCTGATTGATGCACTCATTAAACTACGTCAAATGTCAGAGCTAAATGCTGTAATAATAATAATAAACTGGATTCATAAGGCACATTTCATACCGGGCGAGCAGTTCAAAGGACTTTACAACAAAGTGAAGAAACAAGAGAATGAATAAAAAAAAACTAACAAATGAAAACAAATACTGCCCGATAAAACCAAAGATTAGAACTAAGGAAGGTATAAGAGCAAAACATGTTAACGATTAAAACAAAAGGAAGATCTACAGTTCATTAAAGGCAATGCAAAATAAAGAACATGGACTAGCGGAGCCGGGGATTGAACCGCCGATTTTCCGCCGAAGTCCTTAGACTGGTTACATGTTTTCGTATTGATTTAAAAAAAAATTGTATTAGTCTATAAGGCACTGCATGGCCGTGCACCAGACTACGTCCACGAAATGCTTTTGATTTATGAACCAGGGAGGCCCCTCAGATCATCCATTACTTCTCTTAACTGTTCCACAAAGCAGAACAAAAACATTTGCCAATGTTGTTTTGAGTTATTGCGCTCAAAGCCGCTGGAACAGCCAGATTGATTGATTGATGTTAGATTATAATATTCATGTCTGGGTGGATTATATCTTGTTATGTTTGCTGAAGGTCTACAAAGCTACAGGAGTTGCTATTGAATTTGATTAAGCTAATCACACTCACCTCCTGTGTTGATGTAGGTCTGATGAAGGATGAAATTGACAATTCGGATCCTGGAGATAAAATATTGAGTTCAAGTAAAGAGAAAAAAACTGCATCAGCAGAGTCAGAATGAGTCGGTTTATATAACATGGTGTGTTTTGACTGCACAGGTGTTGGTACACACCATACACATACATCCTGCAGCTTAGAATCAGTCAATCCATCCGTCTATGAAAAATAAGCTAAAGCTCTGCTCTCATTGCAGTTTCACGTTTTCTGTGCACAGTTGTTTCAACACACAGAAAGTTGGGATTCTATGATCCTAAAATACAACTAAAGAGGACAACTTTAAAACTGGATTTCCAGCACCAACCTTCAAAGATCACGTGATGAACTTCCTTTGACATAAATATTGCTGTAAATCCTGACTCGTTGATTAGAATACATTAGAAAGAAAGAAAAGACAAAATGATACAACATATTGAAAATAATGTCCTCAGAAGCTTCACAGAAAAGTACCTCTCTACTTCCATCTGTACTGTATGCTCAGTGTGTTGTACATTTTGACAAAATATGAAACAAATGTGTTGCATTGCTCATTCTCCCTGAAGAACAAATTAAAAAACTTTATGTATTAAAATAATTTGAGGAACAAACGGGTAGAGGAGGGGAGCAAACGGGTAGAGGAGAGGAGCAAAGGGGTAGAGGAGAGGAGCAAAGGGGTAGAGGAGGGGAGCAAAGGGGTAGAGGAGAGGAGCAAAGGGGTAGAGGAGAGGAGCAAAGGGGTAGAGGAGGGGAACAAACGGGTAGAGGAGAGGAGCAAAGGGGTAGAGGAGGGGAGCAAAGGGGTAGAGGAGAGGAGCAAAGGGGTAGAGGAGGGGAGCAAAGGGGTAGAGGAGAGGAGCAAAGGGGTAGAGGAGAGGAGCAAAGGGGTAGAGGAGAGGAGCAAAGGGGTAGAGGAGAGGAGCAAAGGGGTAGAGGAGGGGAACAAAGGGGTAGAGGAGGGGAGCAAAGGGGTAGAGGAGGGGAGCAAAGGGGTAGAGGAGAGGAGCAAAGGGGTAGAGGAGGGGAACAAATGGGTAGAGGAGAGGAGCAAAGGGGTAGAGGAGAGGAACAGGTGAAGAGGAACAAAGCAATGCACAGCTGTGGACGGATGCAGTGTATTTTACACACCTATAAGAAAGGCTCACTGAAAAAAATCAAAGACAGTTTAGCACATTGCTGTGCTCCCGTGATGGTTCTTCTGCCTGTGTGTGTATATATGTGTGTGTATATATATATATATATATATATATATATATATATATATATATATATATAT